AAATCATTTCAGTTTGGTTCAAAGTTTAATTTAAGTTAGTAATATCGTTGTTTTTTTATATTTGATATATTGATCAATTATTGATTGCATGATAATAAGGTTAATAGGTCAAGACTTATGACAATTTCAAAATCTTTAATACGATTAAAAATTTTCCTTAAGTTAAAATTTATGATTTCATAATTTTAAAAAAATTATGAAATACTATTTATGTCTATGACAAAGTGATTCTTAAGTTTAATTAAAAAGATAGATTAAATACATGCATTCTATATAGTTATGACAAAACAGCACATTAAATAGACTATCATGTAATTATAAAGAGTGTCCAGTAAGTCAAGAAATAGGTAAATTATTACGAAGAATAAGAACAAAATAAATCCGTTTACTTACTTACTGAACACCTATATAATGAGTAAAATATTAGTCGATTAAAAGTTATTTATGGATTTAATTATTAATTCTTCAACATAATGATTGAACATTCTTGCGCATTTATTTGTAAATTATATTATCTTTTTGTTCAAATTGATATGATTTTGGCAACATTCTACATTTTTATCAAGGACAGGCGATTAAAAAAAAATTGATTGATTCCATTTATCACATACTTATTGACGTTTTACTATTATTATAACTACACATATTACATTAGACTTATCAAATATGTTTCACGGCTTTTAGTTTTAAGATTTCTGTGTATTATTGTGTAAATAGTGTAAGAATAAATATAACATAAAAATTGAAGAATAAATTAGAGCTCAAAATAATTTATACTCTCTATCTATTAGGCGTTGCAATTTTTTATTAGACAGTTTATATCAGTGATGTACTTATCTTTTGGTACACCTAAGGTAAATTATTCTACCTCCTTCAATCATTTGGTAACCAACAATATTTGCTTATCATTTCTTATTAATTTTTTTAATTATATTCTAATTTTCCATTAAAATATATTGATTTAAAATTTTCAAAAACATTGGAATTTTTAAAGACAATTTTTATATGTACATGGATTATATTCATTGTGTTTTCTTACTATTTTAGATTATTTATTTGAGAGAATCTGCGTATAAAAAATCTTCAAATAAAATTACCTATTAACTCTTAATACTAAAAAAAAGTCATCCAAGACATTATTCTACTTTGTATACCCCTAAATGCGCCACTGATCAATATATGAATCATATTTACTATAACATTATTAATAAAATACTGTAAACATGGATAGTTACTTTTATAGATATTTTTCATCTAATTTCTCAAAACTTCTGATTTATTTACCCACAATTAATTATTCAAACTCTTTAACTATTCATATTCTTCTACTGTTGTTTTTAACTGTATTATATATAGAGGATAAATATAAATTAGAATAACAATACTTTAAAATATTGTAGAGAAAAACAACATGCTCTCAATGTTTTATAGTAGGAATTATATTTAAGAGGAACATTCAGGAATTTTCTACAAATTGAGTAGTGCATTAGAAACAAAGAACTCGCTGGTAAATACTTGCATCCCTTGAAAAAATATCACAAAGGAAACATGCCCACATTACTTGGTCGTCAAACTACCTAGAAAGGGCAGCGAATATGATCCGTCATCTTCATCCAAATTATCACACAAGAGTGCGTGTGGGTAGAAATATTATTATCTTTATAGTAAAAGTCTTTTTTATATCACAGCAATAGAAGAATTAAGCAAACCATTCTTTCATTTAATATGAATGTTGATAAACTGGTAAAATTATAAATTTGTTTAATAACAATTTTCAGATTTTTTTCTTGAGTTTGAGATCTATTAAAACACAGATATTCAGAAGAAATAAACCTAACTGCGCAGTTGATTTTGGGTACTATCGAGTTATCCAGATGTTCAAGCGGTCGTAGTCATATTGAATATTATAGCAAGACAACTTCCCCTTCCATAACATATTTGAATTATTGGTACTAAAATTTCCAAAATCTTAACTCTATCAATAATAAGGTTATGGCTTATTCATTGTGTTACTTTAGATATAATACCAGATATTATATTGATGATAAAAAAGCCAATAAAAGAGACTTGGAGATTTAACAATTCTAATTTATTCTTTAGCTCTCAAAACTTCTCTTCTTTTTTTTTTTTTACAGGAAAAAGTCAAAAATTAAATTAACCTTTCCAAAAATTCTGTTGTCATTACACCTAGGTCACATGTTTGCTTAATGAGTATTTAATTGTTTGGAGTTCATAATAATTGAAAAATGAGTACAATATAAAAATATTTTTCGTTTAACTTCAGCAAATTTTTTATTTAATTTTTTCTAAATCTTGAATAGTATGTTACCTTTACATTATGTAATATATTATTTTCTAGAACAGACTTTCTGAAAATCGACGGACTTTAACGGAATCTACTTAAAGATTATTGTTTCTTATAATGACTCATGGGGTAAACTTTAATGATTAAACACTAAATGCATAGTAAACCATTAATTGTTCATACATAGAGTTTTTTCACAGGATATTAATTTATTCAAGAGACAAAGAGTTTAACATTTTGTATTTCAATTTCCAAACAGTCCTTATAATAAAATTTAAAGTTATAGAAGGTTAGACAATCAAATATTTAACAATAATGTTTAGCTTTTATTTAAGTCACGTAGAGTTCGTTGTATGTATTGTAACTAACTACAATTTGCCAAATATCTGAGTATATTAAATAGAATAGTTAAAATGCACTTCAAAAAATTATTTTAAATTATTTTCTATAAAAAATTGCCAATGTAAATTAAATGGAATAGTTGTCATATAACAAAACTCATAAAAAAAACCTAAATAAATTATTTTGTTTAATTTCCAATTTTTTTAATTAAAAATTGAGGTACTTTTATTTTAAATTCCTCCATTAAAGGTTTTATCTTGAAACTTAAAAATAAAATAAAAAAGAGGAAATATTTATTGAAATCTGTCTTATATTATGACGTATATAATACTAATGTAACAATTGTAATTGATGTACTGATAGTACAATACATACTTTATAATCAATAGTTAATATAGTTTTCAATTTATTCGGTAATTTCAGCGTGGAAGTTATGCTAAATGAGTTCCATAGTAATTAAATACAACAATACGCGTGACACAAAAAATAGGAAACGTACCATTTCAATTGGTTTCATTTTTACTTATGTTTATGTTAGGCATTATTTTGTGACTGAAAAAAACAATATTCTATCCACGCATATAATATGAGTTTAATGTTTAGCCATTAAGTATTCACGAAAATTCCACACTCTGTTTTACTAGTGATTTCCGGTGCTTTTATTTAATTATTAATAGCCGCAAATAAAAATTTTATTACATTTTTTTTAATAACAATTATAAATTATAATTATAAAGAGCGAACATATATATTAATTAGAACACAGAACTTGAATAGAACAATACTATTTTTTGTCATCTGTAAGTGTAGTCTATAAATTAAATTTGAAGAATTTTTAAAACCTAGCACACATTGTTTAATGAGTAATTTATTTTACTGTCAAATGAATTAAGACAGTAATCTGCAAATTTACTTAAACAAATTAAGCTTTAACGAGAGTGCCTTTAAAGTACATTATTAGTGCACTACAGATAGCTATCTGCCAATAAGGTTATAATTTATATAGTAGGGATCATTATCGTAATTAGAAATTTTGTATAAGAGGTCTACATAGCTTTTAGAACGTAGAGAAGTAAAAAAATTCACCCCTCTACTATAATTTTATGACCATGGAAGGCCTATGCCCGGGGTCCCCCTTCATTGGGCCACTAATAGAGATTTATAAATTTGAATGGTGCATATTTTTCCTCTAAGCTATTTAATTAAAAAATCGATTAACTGTTTTATAAATAAATCACAAGTGTGTAATCATAACTGAGCCTCAATTTTTTACTGCTACTTTTAAACAAAATGTAAACACGGGATTTTATGCGTGTACGTGGAACCTTTGTCCGAGGAATAGGTGAAATCGCACTTATTGTAATAAAAAATTGTTAGAATTAAAAATTAGGGTGAGTCACGAAGTGGTCTATAATATACTCAAGATAGGTTCAAATCCCTCATACTGCGCGCGTACCAACTACCAGGTGTTCAAAATGCATACAGCACAAAGGGTCGTTTGGGGAAACTGGAAATACCTGCACTCACTCATCTGACAGAGGTCGGTCCTTCCTATCCTCGGAACACCTGGAAAATTAAAATCACATGTCCTTTGCTTGAATGCGGCTCATAATGTACAGTAGTTATATTTTGCACATGATATATAATTGTGTATGCATAAAAAAACACATTGACTATACAATAGATTTTTCTACATTAAAGTGATGAAATAAAACTACCTTTAAAACTTGTTTTGATGCTTTAAATAGTATATATATATTTTTTTAATGACTTTTTATTTTAGTAGAACATTTCAATTTCGAAATAATTAATTTAGATTTTAATAACTTGAATTTTACTTAAATCATTGAACTTGTATATTTTAATTGGCCTTTGTTAAAGAAAAATGAGTACTTTTTAAGGAAAAAGAAATAAATTCTGGTTTTGCCGAAACTGATTTTGTTGACTGCATTTTAAGGTCATAAAGAATCAATACAGAACACTAAGAATCCAATTGTTTTGGTTGTTTCATAAAGATCACTTCTGATATATTCTGGTTGCAGCTTGAGATTATTCTTTAATTTCTACACCTCTTACTAGTAAGATTTCAGTCACTTTAACCTTGTCGACAAAACAGTGGACCATAAAGGTCATTAGAAATATTAATAAAGGAATCTAAATTGATTCCTTAATATTTTTGATATCATATCTTATAATGAAATATTATAATAAATACTTGATTCTCTTGTTTTCACATTAAAACCAAAACGCTCGGAGACTAGAGATATTACGCAGTGTTTTAGTTAAGATTTTTGAAATAACAAATAAGTGGGGGAAGTGACCGTGATAAAATAGACGCCTACTTTTTTTTTTCTATTGGCCACCTGACCGAAAATAAAAATATTAAGTATTATTTTGTAAAGACTTTTGGGTCTCTAAGTAGATACCTGTATTTTGTGAAATGATGTGTTTGCTCTTCGATTCAAGTGGGATTTATTACAGTAGAGAATGGAAACAGGCAATATTGTTCGACTACTTTAGCATGATCCTTTGTCGCGGTTTTCTCAACCCCTTTTAAAGATTATACAGGGTAATAAATTTATCTTTGACCACTAATATTCTTCTAAAATAATAATAATTTTAAATTATTATTATTTTATTTTGTTTTTCAGTATAATTTATTACTTGATTTATCAATTATCAAGTACTTATCCGATTTATCATTTATACCATACAATGGAGTCAACTTAATTTTTTTAAACGGCATCAAACATATTTTAATAGATAATTAGCTTTGATATGAAAATAAGAAGGTATTAATTTTACTAAGATGTGCATTTTTTTATAACATTCACCACATTTTCTAAGCACTCGCCGGATCGATTTCTTTCATCAATACGTCAAAAGATCACAAATCGTATCTAGTTGATTTGCTTTTTAAAATTGAAGAAATTCTCTTGTTTCCTTTAAATGGGAGAAATCAACAAAAATATTTGATTTTTAAAATTGGTAAATTTGGACTTTTATTAAAATTTTATTCTTAAAACTGCGATAACTTTTTAAAAATGATTCAAACATAATCGTTTTTTTTTAAATAAATATTTTAGATATTTTCCTTAATTTTGTATAATTTTTTTTTTAATCTGACCCTTTGCCTGTCCACTATATTGGAGTACTGGAAATACTCCTATCTTCAAACATATGTTAATATAAAGGCTATATTATGTACTAGAAATTAAAAAAAATTTGTTTTGACAACTTATCTTCTATGTGAAAATAGCGCCGTTGTTAAAAAACATGACATTTTTGTGTTAAAATTTTCAATTTTCTATTTCATTATTATACCTCATAAAGGATAACAACTTTATTTATTTAAATAATAAATCGAGTGGCTAATATAGAAAGAATAATTTTTCCGTAATATTACAATACTAAATTACTAGTTATCAATTTCATATTAAATTTAGTCACTATAATAAGTATTTATTCATGTAATATACCTATAAATCATAATTTTTTTTTATGTTGCTTTCTAAATTTAACAACTACACCTTCTAAAAATTTAACATTATTTATTAATTTGCCCCGAAGATTTACTTATGATAGGTATTTCAATTACATCACTGTTGTGATTCACACATCAAAAGTTATTTAAGTTGTTATACCTAGGTGAAAAAAAAGAGTATAGCCGAAAAATGTTTGGCGATAAATGCACCCGCGCATCACTTCTAGTATTTAATTAAAATTTTTGTAATTGTTAATATCAATGTTATATTAAATATTTCCATGTGTATAACCAATAAATAATTGTGTGGTTCATCATTTATCTTTATGTTTTAGTAATAATTGAAGTATTTACTTAGTAAATACTGAAATGTAATTAATTATAAAACTTAAATGTAGAACAAAATTAATTTTATTAAAACATTTAAAGAGTTTCTTTTCGTATTGTCGTTGGAGAATCTTCATCTATTGTTTTAAATTCCAATTCTAGATTCAAAAAAAAAAAATGTATAAGACTTTAAATTAATATTTTGATTAATATTTTTTATTTCAAATATCGAGTTCAATAGGCTCATCTGGTATTGGTAAAAACGTTTCTAAATAAAAATTATAATAATCATTTCTATCCAGCTCTTAGGCATTAAATAAATGCTTTAATTGAAATCAGAGCAAAAATTATTTTAGAAAAGCTATATTTTTAATACTGATGATTTAAAAATTCTTATAGAACACTTTATTCACAATATATAAAAAAAATACTTAAGTTGAAAAATGGAAATAATTAATGAAATAATCCACTAATTTCTTAAAATCAAACATTTTCTACAGATTTGTATCGAATCATTTCTTAAGATAGTGATTTCAATCATTGTTAGATATCATCTATACTTGTCCTCGGTATGTGATGACCTCAATCTGTTACCATTTTTTTTTTATTTTAACTTTGAATAGACGACATAAGCTGTTATTTAATATATGTTTAAAGAATGAAAAATTTCCGGTACAAATTTAAAAGGTAAGTAGATAAAGTTAAGTTTTTATACTAATATAAAGTCAAAAATATAGTAAAAATTACCAAATTCAACTATAGTATTTTTTATTGTGGAGATTTCCATTTGCAGAAAACGAAAACAGTGTTTTTAATTATTAGGTATAATGTTTGCAACTAGCTACGGTCTGTAATCTTTTATTATTGATCATTGAACGATCCAAAAGTAGATAAGTATGTACAGGTACAGACAAAAATACTTAAATAAAAAAAAACACACATTATGATAAAAAAAAATTTCCTTCTCAATTTATCACCAAAGCTATAATAAATTGTTTCAATTATGCGTATTTAATTCGTTATCTTAATCAAGAACTTATAAATCAATAAAATAGTAAACGTTCTATATTTTTCGAGTAACAAAAAAAAAAAATATGCAACGCGCAAAGGGTGTGGTGCATTTAACTTAAAGTCGCTGTTGTAACCAAACAAGGAATAGGATAACTGTTTAAGTCCATGTCCGTTTATTAGAGAATACGTTTACGAAATTATATAACAATGCAAAATATTCAATGTGCATTATATTAACCGGTTTTGTACAGACACCAGTGGTCGTGAGACAGTACGTTTCGACTTGGGAGGGATGAAACATTTGACAAACTTCGCCAAAGGCTTACGGTCCAGAACCATCGCACCACTCAGCACCACGTAACTTCGAACACAGCGTCAACGATCAATACACCTACAACATCAAGAGCCAACAAGAATACTCCGACGGAAAAGGATACGTCAAGGAATCGTACAGCTCGATCGAACCTGGCGGTTCCACCCGAATACACCGCCGATGACTTCAACGGTTTTAACGCTGAAGTCAAGAAAATCGGTGGAGGATACAAGGCCCCATACAGTGCTCCAGCATACAATCCAGCCCCATACTCTGCTCCAGCATACAACACGCTTACCTAGCACCAGCTTACAAACTATACTAAGCGAAGTCTCGAATAGGCATAAATTAGTTGTTTATAAAATTCTATGTTTTTAATCTTATTCATCTTGTCACCTATTGATGACGTTTTACTGTCGGCGGCATCAAAATCATATTCCCACTTGTTTTCGTTGTCACCTAATATTCGTAATACATTCTTTATTGTTGTTATCGTATATTTTGTAAATAATATCCTCATTATACATTTATTTATTTTGGACTTTTTTTTCACTGGTGTTATTGATTTTTAATTAAAAACTAAAGTTTATAATTTACATCTTAAATATTTCATTCAATATGATAATTTAGTAAATGATAAGGAATAACTAACATTCTAACTTGAGACTATAAATTTGTAATCTGAAAAGTTAAATATAATACTGATAAAGAGGCCTTTATATCTTAGTGAGAAGAAGAGTGAGGCCGAATAACAATTGCCTAAAAACAAAATAAGCAGCACCCACGTCTTAAATCCAGTATATATTGAAATATTACATTTTACATGCTAATTAAAATATATGTAACATATTTCTCTTATATTCTAAATTGGACAATTTTTAATTTATGATTTGTGGTTTAAGTGTTATTATATTTATATATTATTATTTAAATCTCCAGTCTATGCTCCGATATTTGTTTCAATTCTAAAATTTTTACCAATACTGTTTAAAATGCCCTTAAACTGCAATTTTTGTCACTAGAATCTAATCTCTCTTTAAATGCGACTCTGTGACCACTATTAAAATATGAACAGAAACAAATTTTTTAGTTATCATTTTTGTATAATCATAATACATAATTTGGAAAAAAATACACTTATACTTAAAGTTTTATACTGCCAAAACATTTTTTTTAAATTTCGAGAGTTTTTGCATATTTCAGTAAATTAGCTACTAAAATTAATTTAATTATGAACTCATTTACACAAAATTTGGTTTGTTTGTAAAATATCGAAATAAAAATACAGAATTGAGTTATTTTCATATAATTTAAGGTACTCGAGATAGTTACTTTACTAATAAATTAATGAAATAACAAATACAAAAAGTTATACGAAGGAAGTTTTATTTACAAAACATTATTACAGTGAACAATTAATTCATTGATATTACATGTAAAACAAAAATAGATGTACAACTGCATATGATTTCAACGTTACCAACAGCAGATGACGTTTTAGGTGACAGGAAGAACAAGATTAAAAACATATAAATTATAAACAACTAACTATTATATGCCAATTCGAGATTTCGCTTAGTATGGTTTGTAAGCTATATATTTAGACAAAAGCTTTTTAGAGTTTTATTAAGAAACTCAAGTTCTCACATTTAGGGAAATTTATTCCTTCTAAGTTACGCATCCAAGCAAAAAGTTATTTTTCATTCAATTAATTTATTTAATTAAGCTCTTCGAACATTCTTTTGTGTCAAATGCGGAAAGTCTATGAGACAACAGTTTTTATATAATTACCACAGCTGTTATATTAAAAAATTTTAGTCTTATTATTTCTAAATGTAAAACACAATTAATACGTGTCTTTCGACATTTCATTAAATAATATTTTGTTTCAAAAATTTCAGCGATAAATATTATTAATTATTTTAAAAATGTTTTCCTTAAAACTTTTCAAATTTATACTTTTATTATTTTATGTGATTTTATACTCAAAAGCATATAAGACTCCAAAACATATAATTCATCAATTAGATAATTTACTAAAGTATCCGGGATGGAAAAATTTAAATGATATAAGCTCTATAAAATATCGTAATGAAACACATTATCTTAAAAGTCTGATTGAAACACCTACACCGACTGATAAAGGTAAGCAAAAGATTCGAGCCTTGACTGTATATCTTGGTTGCACATATGCAAAAGTTTCAATTAATATTTTCTCAGTGATTATCAAATGGCAACAAATTTGTAAAAAAGAAAATAAAATAAAAAAAGATTTATTAAATGGATGTATTTATATTAAAGAACTTATAAACATAATAGCCATATTAATTGTTCCTATAGCAAAATTGATGCAAGGCGCCATGGAAGCTTTAGATATATTACATCATATACCATTGGCGACTTTTAAGATAAATCGCCAAATCTACATTATGAGTATTTTATTGGAAAAAATAGGAAATATTTTTGACGAATTGAATGATCCAAGTGATGATAGATCTACAAACTATCCGAAATTTGAAACTGTATATTTATTTTCTAAGAGAATAATAACAGAATTACAATATGATACTAACAAATATTGTGAATTTGTACCATATAATACAAATTATTTATGGAATAAATGGGCTCAAGAATATAAAACTATTATTGATCAGGGACTAAAATTAGTATTTTTCAAATTCTTAACCAAAAAAATTGAAGTTTATATCAAGACAGAAATTATAGAAAAGTATTTTCAACTGGGATTTATGTTTGATCCAATTACTGAAGAAACGTTTTTACCAATACCAGATGAGCCTATTGAACTCGGTATTTGAAATAAAAAATATTAATCGAAATATTAATTTAAAGTCTTATACATTTTTTTTTTTTGAATCTAGAATTGGAATTTAAAACAATAAGTGAAGATCCTCCAATGCCAATACGAATATAAACTTATTAAATGTTGTAAAAAAATGTATTTTGTTTTACATTTATGTTAATTAATTAATCTCATTTATAGTATAACTAAGTAAATATTTCTATTATATAACAAAAACACTAATAGTATTTAATATGAATTTTATACAAAATTGATAATTAATAATTTAGTATTTAAAATTATGTTGGTTGAAAGGGTTTAATCATAACTTATTTATGAAAAATAAATTTTATTGAACCAGTTATCTTTCAAAAAGTTATAGTAATTTAAAGTTTAACAAAGAAAATGGAAAATTTTAATACAAAAATTACATGTTTCTTAACAACGACAGCCATTTGCACATAGAAGACAAATATTTTATTTTGTCTTACAGTATTATTTGTTACTTGATTTCAGTGGCGGAACTACGTTTACTGAGGCCCGTGAATACAATTTTTCGGAGGCCCTATTATATCTGTAACCAAATTCAGCTGACATAGGGATTTTAGTTTATACACATTTAAAAATGTGTATATAATTATGTAATTAAATTATGTATACTGTATAGTTTATTAAGAACTTATTGAATTATAAATTGAATTAAAAAATTACAAATATGAATATACTTATACTTGAAAACTTTTTTTTCTGCTACGATCTTGAGAAAATAACTTAACTAATGACGACAAATTCAATTTTTTAGCCCGTTCATTTTCAATTGAAATCATTGCAAGGCCACTGAGCCGTGTTTGGCACATGGTGCTCCTGAGATAATTCTTTATTAATTTAAGTTTTGAGAATGTCCTCTCTGCGCTTGCCACAGTAACCGGTAATGTAAGGAACAAATAAAATGCTGTTAACAAATCTGGGAAACTAGTAATTAAATTATTATTATCAATTATTAGTAATTTAGTCATATCAAAAACGCTGCGACAAGATTTAAGCTCAGAAGCAAACAGAAATTTAAATGATTCGATTTGTGTTGTAAGTTCTGCTGGATTAAAGTCCTCAAATGCCTCTGCCAACTTTTTTGCACTCTTACCGATCTCTTCATCAGATATTACAGTTGGTCGTAAAATACAACTAAATAAATCATTTATTTCACTAAGGCCTACAAATCTTGTTTTCAATTGTGTAACAACAGTATCAATACATCGATATAAAACTTGAGTTTTAAAATAATGGTTTCCTTCTGAAAGACGTTTATCTTGACATAGCTCACCATAAAATTTTTTTACTTTTCTCGTTCGTATGCAAGAAAACTCGGGCGTTACATTCCATTGTAATGCTTTAGAATTAGCTTCTTCTATTAAAATGTTAAAGTTATCGCGAATTTTCCCCATATTTTCCAATGTGCTTTTTATCAAATCAACAGCTTTGCCAATATCAGCTCCAGGCGATTGAAGTATTTTAGATGCTAAATTAATTTTTGACAATATTTTATACATCAATAGAATTAAAATAATTGTTTCATAACTTTCGAAATATTTTTTGAGTGTGGAGGCATTGTTTTGTTCATCCTTATTACGCCCGGTCAACGTAATGTTGTTTAAAACTTTCATAACATCTGGGTACATATGGTTGAGTGATATCAAACAATCAGTTCTAGACGACCATCGTGTTGGGCACAGCCTTTTGAGTGATCTAGAAATTTCACAGCTTTCTTTTTTCAATTTTGCCCATCGAAGTATACTGTTTCCGAAAAAAGTATATAGAGTTTCTAACATCTCAAAAAATTGTCTGATTTCCGTAATATCTTTCACAGAATCGTTTATCACCAAATTTAAATTATGCGATGCACAATGAACATATTTTGCTTTTTTCTGTCGTTTCCGAAGTCGAGCCTGCAAGCCATTATGTTTACCACTCATACTTGCTGCTCCGTCTAATCCAATTCCTCTAAATTTACCAATATCAAGACCATTATCTTTAAATGTTTTAACTGTTTGTTCTTCTATTGCTTCACCTGTACTTCCTTCTGCTTCAGAAAAACCTATGAAATCTTCTTTTATTTCAATACTTTTAGGAATTCCAAGTTCATCTTTTTCTATATGTACATACCGATATATCGTAGAAACTTGGTCAACCTTGCTTATATCTTGTGTTGAATCTAGAATTAAGGAAAAAAATGGCGCGGAGGTAACATCAGATATTATATTTTTCTTTATTTCACTTTCTATTAATGCAATTATTTGATTTTGAATTTGGTGGCTAAGATATTTTATGCTTCCCTTTGGCTTCTCTAGAAGTGTTGCCAATATTGGATCATATTTGGCTAGAAGTCTTATTAAAGCCATAAAATTTCCATTATTTTTGAAGTTAGCATCTTCTCTATGGCCTCTGAAAGACAAATTTTGGCCACCTAATGTGATCGATATATCTATTATACGTGTCAAAACTGCGGTCCAATATTCAGATTCAGAAGCGTCTTGCTTTTTTATTTGACAGTCTATACTTAAATTTTTATGATACATATTATAAGCTTTACATGACACAAGATGAAATGTAGAACTTTCATGACGGTTCATAGCAATCGTTATGTGATCCCAGTCATCAAATCCGTCAATCCATGACGTTTGTTTATTTTTTAATCTATTCCCGAACAGAGTACATGGCTGGCAATATGCAACTTGACGAATAATCGAATAACTCAACCATAGTCTAATTGTCTTTCCACCAGACATTGATGACCCAGAATAATAATATTTCTCATTGAACGATAAATTAGATACACGATTATCTGAATATCTATAGAATGGTCCTTTAGGTTGGCATGGTCCATATTCAACAATAAATTTTTTTGCTGCGTCAGGCAACTGATTTAGATGGCTAAAATGACCAATATCAGTAGGGTTTGGTAACATCAGAAGCTTAGTAAAAAAATTTAAATCTGATATATTGTTACTTGGGGACGAAGATGAAGAGCTGGATGGTATTTTACCTAAAAATTCGTTGGTCGATAAAGGTGAGAAACTAGATGATGTTTCATGTGCAATAGTGGTGACTGAAGAAGAAGGTAAGGGACTTGATGGCATATTTTGTGTTACATTGGCTGAAAAAGAGTTTGTAGAAAAAGATGGTTCAATTTCCGAATTTTTGATAAAGTACTTTGAAACAGACGGCAACAATTTAATCTTTTGCTCTTCTTCTGCTTTACGTTTTCGTTTACTCGCTCCACTCTCAAATCTTTTTTTATTCGGACCATTCATTATAAAACGAAATTCTCAAAGTCAAGTTGTGCACTAAAATTATAACACAAGAACAATACGTTTTCTTTCTATATTTTATATTATTATTAATATTATTTGTATAAGCAATTAGAATTTTAAATGAAATATCAGAATAAATTTAATATTGAAATTTCAAATATTATGTTGAAAATAATTAACCCGTCATTGGTAAACATGTGAGCGCGGCGCTCACACAAATAGCATTTTAAACGTCAGTCACATAAATGTTTGTTATTTTGCTTGATTCTCTTATTACCTTCAAATAAAAGCTTACCAATAATTACAAAAAAAAAAAGCCGCTATCTGTATTTCCTCAAGTTTTCAGTGTGCAAAGTTAACTGTACCGATAAAGTGAGCGTCGCTTTCACAGTTTATCAATTTCATATTTTTTGAATTGCTTACGTTTATTTTTTTTCAAAATAATGGCCAATAAAGTTTAATCTTTGTTGGAGAAGACTGTAGAACAGTTTTTAGAAGACTTATGTCAACCCAAGTGTTGACCCCGTCCAATTTTTTGAAAATGAATCGGGCAGTGACATTTCTGAACCTGCGCCTGGTACTCACAATACCAGTCGCATAAATAATAAAAATACTAGTATTTTACAAAAAATATTTTACCAATTGGTAGTGAGCAAAATGATACTTTTCTATGTATGATTCAATTTTTTGAGTTGATCGAGTAATTAATAATAAAGGAAAAAGTAACGTGTGAGCGCGGTGCTCACAGTTTAGCAATCGTGATCCGTAACATAAGTTTACCAACGACGGGTTAAAAAATTAAAAATTACATAGACAATAATAACATCAGTTCTTTAGATTAAATCTTAAGTCTACTTTATAATGTTTTATGATGTATTAGATTAAATTAAAAACAAATAACGATACTATTTTATACCTACTAATACTATGTTTAAACTTAAATAATTACATGTTATACCTTGTCGGTAAGTACGTAAAAAAATATATTCAGTCATTAGTTTTAATATCAGATTGTTTAATTTTAGTATTTACCTAAGTACTACAAATGACGTCTAAGACGTTGATTTTC